ATTTTCGCTGAAAAGACTTTTTGGGCGTTTTGCTTGGAATTTATTTTTACTGGTTTTGAGGAGTTTAATGTGAAATATCGGAAAAAAAAGTATATTCGCTGGATTTTATTTTCACGGAATCATTCTTTCAGCGAAAATAGCGAAAATAAATTCCAAGCGAAAATAAAGTATTCTACAGTATTCACAAAAATACCGGGACATATGAAATTCCGAGTGTACGAATGTTGAATTTACTCAACGAACTCAACCAACGGCACGGTCACGATCACAAAAGCAATAAGCACTGCTGATGCTGCCCCACTTTCCAGGCAGTGGGTAAAATGCCGGCTGTCATGGATAACAGGAATTTCGAGCGAAAATCGCCGGGTTTCGACTCGCTCGGCTTGTGGAAAGTAGCACAATGACAAATTCCACGGACGACGTTATTTCTTTAACTGCTCTTCCAAATTTCACGCAATAGATTGAGGCGTATGAATATAACAAATCCCCCGTCAGTTGTCCCTCGATGAAAACGGCTACATAATTCTGTTACAGATTTAAAATACCGACACATATGACATTCTGAGTGAATACGCACCGAACACCGTCAAGGAACAGTCACTAACACTAAAAGCGAACAGTTAGTATACGGCCGGCCACTCTCTATACAGCCGGCCGGTACCGGGGGGCATTCACACATGTCTGATTCGTATATCAGTTCTATTTTGCGATCAACGCATGAGCGTGTACGAGTCAAGGGATGGAAATTGTTCGTAGTTCTGCGGTCAGCGGTAATTAATATTTAACCAAAAACAGCCATTGAAAAAAATCCCCGTCAGGACATTGTCATAGAATGCAAAAAAAAAAAAAATCGACTCACCAAAATTCTCGGAGACATAAAATCAATCTGTGCAAATTGACGTTGTACCACTTTCCTGACACTAGGCGAAACGCTGACTGTCACGGAGAAATAGGGATTCCGACAGAAAATCGCCGGGTTTCGACTCGCTCGGCCAGCGGAACGTAATACAAATCCCACGGACGACATTATCCCGTCAAGTACTTGTTCTTCTCTTTCAAATTACACGGAATCGATTATTGCGTAGGTTAAAATTCACAGTACGACTCGGAGCTTGTTTGCTTGTCTAAGTTTCGCCGGTAAATGTCGCAATACCACACACAGTATACTTACTAAACACAGGGATTCCCTTTCGCAATCAGCTTGACGTCATATTTGGCGCATGCGTACCGAGTATAAGTCACGCGAAACAGACCTCTTAACTCAACGATGGTTTACTACTACCATCTGACCTTATAACTCTCATTTCAAGGGCATTCAACTCACTAAAATGGAAAGATAACATTCTCAAGATTTTGTTTTGTACACTTTAATTAATTTTTAATTTGTACAAAATTCACCAACAGGTGTATTTTTTTTCTATTCTGTGTGATAATTAGAGAAAATTCAGGAAAAATGTAAATATATATACATTTTTACCATACAGAAGTTAAGATGAAGTACTGAATATTTTACAAGGTCAAACAAATTAAACATGGTATAACAGTACTGATTAGTGAATCCATAACATTTTACAATAAATTATACCAGAGGTACATTACTTGGGGTTTGCAACGCGCATAGTACTGTATGGTGACATCATGCCAAGATCCCATTCAAGTCTCATCTCGTAGATAGCGAGACTGGTGCTACGACCTTCTGACATGACATAGGCGGTTTGTAATAAAACAATAAAACATGTATTACCACATTCATAGTGAAAAAATGTAGTACATCGAAAATGTACAGAAAATATAGTTACTGTAATCCGTCATATCGTGAGCAGCCATTTTGATCCACCTGGACATCCCAGTATCCTAGTTACCCCGGGCATGCGCATTTGCATTTTTCTGAGTTGGAACGCTTATGCGAGAGCGAGATTGAAACGGGGTCTTGGTATCATGTCACCGTAGTTTCAAACCCCAAGTAACTCTGATTATACTCATTATAAAGATATTCAAGTTGACTTTGATTAAGTTTGGTGGGAGCAGCTCATTTTTGAGGAAATGCTGGTTGTATTTTAGTGAATGGTGGCCATTGTGTCAGTATTATAACGCTATTGCCATATGTTTTTATGGCAGAGATATTATGATATCATATATCTTGCATAGCCCGGCCTCGTAACGATATGGGAAGTGCGCCCTCACATCAGGGCATTAATTTCCTGTATCAGCGCGCCCGGCTTTCATCATTCAAAACAGAACGCGTCATTCTAAATTACGTCATGTGTTTGAGGTCACTTGTTAAAATTGTAATAGGGGATTTTCCGTACAATTGCGAGATCTCGCGAGATGTATGAAAAACGCGCGTCGAACGTCTGCCGCAAAAATCGAACGATTTGATTTTAAACTAGAATTTCTTTATTTCGTAACTCACATCGACCGGCCGATCTTCGACAGAGGAATATTGCGTCCGAATACCCTTACTTAATCAAAATTGTCTATCATCAAATGTGGACAGCACATTATTAAGCATGGAAATGTCCCCCAAAATACTTCGCGTTTGTCGAATCCCACGCGATGTTTGACGCCACTACGACCATTGACGCTGCAGGTCGGCGTCTTCTACACCGATCTGACGCATATCGCGCTAGGTGTGTCGGGAGTTTGTTCGAAATTTCGAACGTTTCGAAGTCAATCGTCGATTGCCACGTAATTTACGGATACATTAAATCGTTTCAGATACCTGTTTACTAAATAATGATAAATGAAACTTAGAAAACTTGTAAGAACAAACTGGGCCAAAATTGCAATAAGTTTACGCTGCTAGAGTCTGGTTCGGATGGAGTTCTACGCGTGATTTTATTGCGCTCAAGGAAACGTTCTATTTTCGAACTAGTTGAAACCGGAAATAACGCAACTACTTTCGAACTTCAAACACAAATTTGATTATCGTTATTATGTGTTAGTTTATGTTGTTTCAAAGATTGAATTATGTATGACAATAATATTTTCACTCTATAAACAATATTTCATTAAAATATGTGATTCAAAGGCAACCCAAATTGTAAAAAGCAATATCAAGTTCCGCGTATAAACACTGTTGTAAAGAGGCGGCGGAGCGGAATTTTAGCCAAAATCGGCTAGTAAGGCGTCATATTACATTTCGCTGGTTCCCGGCGTCCTTTGCGAATGGCAGGTAGGACGCAGGTAACTAGTAATCGCCATATATTGTTCCATTTGGGCCGGTTTTCAGGCCGGAAGGAACGCGACTGGGTGACGTAATTTGAAAATATTCCAAGTTCCGTTTTGCGTAAACGTGTCTGTAATGCTACATGCTCATACATACTGCCTGCTTAGATTTACAGATTTGATATGTTCTGTGCAAATTTATAACAAAAGAAACAATTCTTTTTATTCGCCCAACTTTCGAAAGCAAAAGGAAACCCCTGAACGGCCACGAGCGTAAGCGCTGACGTCAGGTAACTAAGGGAAATGGAACAAGCAACGAGAAAGTGATGTACCAATCAGAATGCCGGAACCGTTACTAGTTACCGGCCTCTTGTGGCTTGGTACGCCATGACACTTGAGGCGGGAACCAGCCAACATATTACATTGGCTGGTTCGCTGGTTCCCGGCGTCCTTTGCGAATGGTAGGTAGGACGCAGGTAACTAGTAATCGCCATATTGTTCCATTTGGGCCGGTTTTCCAGCCGGAAGGCACGTGACTGAGTGACGTAATTTGAAAACATTCCAAGTTCCGTTCTGCGTAAACATGTCTATAATACTACAATAAAGCCATGCTCAAACATACTGCCTGCTTAGATTTACACATTTGAGATGTTTCTGACATTCCTCGCTGTTTCTGTGAAAATTTATAACAAAAGAAACAGTTTTTTATTCACCCAACTTTCGAAAGTAAAAGGAAACCCCTGAACGGCCACGAGCGTAAGCGCTGCCGTCAGGTAACCAAGGGAAATAGAACAAGCAACGAGAAAGTGACGGACCAATCAGAATGCCGGATTCATTACTAGTTACTGGCCTCTTGTGGCTTGGTACGCCATG